AAGAACCGACAAACGTTTTTGACGTCATTGATTTATTTCAGTCAATTTTTATTTGTTAAACAAGGAAGGCAAATGCTGGTGGCAAGTACAAACCCTGGCGAAACAAACTTTATACAGGGTGATTCAAAAGTAAGCGGCAACCTTTCGGGGGCGTATTCCTTGCATAAAAATAAGACAAAAAGTTCCTATTAACATGGGTCCGGAAATGCTTCCTAAGGGAGTTACGCCCCTTCAAATAGGACACCTGAAAGACGTATTTTTCTCTATAACTTTGAAACCCTTCACAAATGGATTTTGAAAATTGGTGTATTTTATAAACATTTGATGGCAATTAAAATACTAAATTGAAAATTCAAAAATCTTAATCAGTGGCGTCACATACTGGGGAGGGTGAGGGTTAAAACATCCCTATTTTTTTTACTATTCAGGTTTTTGCGATTCTGATTGAAAATTCAGAAAGTTTACAGTTTTTTACACAGAAAAGGTACTCTTGGTTCAATTCGATACAGCGTACCGTTTACGAGAAAATTGACTTTGAAAATTTTTTGATTTGCGTATGTTTCGCAAAAACCTGACGAGTAAAAAAAAAAATAGAGATATTTTCACCCTCCCCAGTATGTGACACTGATTTAGATTTTTCAATTTTCAATTTAGTATCTTAATTGCCATCAAATGTTTATAAAATACACCAATTTTCAAAATCCATTTGTGAAGGGTTTCAAAGTTATACAGAAAAACACGTCTTTCAGGTGTCCTATTCGAAGGGGCGTAGCTCCCTTAGGAAGCATTTCCGGACCCATGTTAATAGGAACTTTTTGTCTTATTTTTATGCAAGGAAGACGCCCCTGAAAGGTTGCCGCTTACTTTTGAATTACCCTGTATAGTGAATTCTCGAGTGAATTAGTGTGTAGTTTTATCCATAACATTAATCTACTCAGTGTAAATAGGACAAACGATGGTTTAAGGGGCTAGTCGCGTTGAATTCGACTCGAGTATTAAGTTAAAGACACTCACTTGGTGAAAAGGGAGAATATGGCATAGAGTACTTGAGCCGGCCATACCGCTCAAGAGTCAGGATAGCAGCCCTCGGCGCAGAGCCCAGCAGTTGATATCAGGTAAGCGTACCACAGGCTGCTACAACTGGATATTTCAATAAAAGTCGATATTTCAACATGGGAGGATAAAATTACGGGAGCCCCGAGTCCTTATGCTTGAAACGGGGGAGCAGCGTTCCCAGGAGAACAAGTGTTCCGTCTTTGTTACTTATATTATCAGTTGCCTATCAATGAGAAAGATGGAACACTCATTCTCCTGGGAACGCTGCTCCTCTGTTTCAAGAATAAGGACCCTGCAGGCCAATAGTGAGACGTAAGCTTCATGGTTCCCCATTAGACTGAACGATCACTATCGATCTTCCTCGAACGTTCTCGGGCGAACCGGATGATAACGGTTGTCCACGTCGGGCATTCATACTGAACATTCTTCATTTCTTCATCAACAAACTTGTCTTGCCTTCTGCCAATCATCTATTTGCGAGTTCTGGGAAATTTCTCGATTACGCATGCGTAGTTGCCGGCGTTAGATCGTGGTCGACCAAAATTTCGAACCGGCTCGAACTTCCAACCGGTCGCTGTTGGTCGACCGAAGATGGTCGGGCAGTAATGGAACCAAGAACCGCTTGTTTTACGTTGTTTGTTTTTTACTCGGTCGAGGATGATCCATAGTGGTCGTTCAGTCTAATCCCTACCTAATAGACAAAATTGAAGAAATCAGTTAATAAATAACAATAGACATGATTGCCACGTTAAAATATTTAGCGTTTCCTTATTATCAATATTTTCTTGTTAAAGAATACATTTTCAAATAAACTATACTAGTATTTACGCTTTTATAAATAAACGTGGCAGTGGCAACATCGCACATTTACGTCCGAATCCCTTCCGCAGCTTCAGAACCACTGGCACTGGCCAGTGATGGTATATCAGGGAGTTTCTTCCTAGATTTAGGGACATTTTCAGCAATTAAGGGAAAAAGGGAAATTTATGACACATTTAGGGATTTTTTAATTTATAATCCCGTAATATTTTGGCGCACAATGGAAAATAATTTAGCATTTTTTATACATATTATGCTTTTTATTTATATGAAATAACATTATCGTAATGAAATTACACCGTCGCTTAGGCCCAGTTGTACACTTGACCAGACATAAAACTGGTACAGGCAATATATACTTTTTAAATTTGCCTAGTGTGAGTCAGGCTTAACAACAGAAAGTCAACCGTTTTTGTCAACGTCACAGGTAGTCGATTCTCCAATTTGGTATAAGTGAACGTTCCCCTAAGAGAAGTGAGAGATCACATCGCACGCTCGTTCACTTGGTGCCAAAGTTGGTTTCTCGAACGTATGGGATTATGATAGAATGAGAGAAAACTTGTCAAATCATAATGCGTTGTTGCCAACAGTAATATGTCGAATTAGCCACAATTTTAGTGCGTTAAAATGACGAATGTCATGAGAAAAAAGAAAATCAGTTTGTTTTATTTGTGCTCTATGGACGAGAACTCATTCTTTCCTTATTTATCTACTGAAAATCAAATCATTAGTCATTCTATTTCCAATTTTCGTGTTGTTTTGTTTACCTATGTGGAAAAAGAATTTGGAAAAATCAAGATGTTATAAATCATACTCAAAAAGAAATGCTCATTGAATTTTTAAGGCCAAATGAGAAACTTCAAAGTGGAAAATTTACCTCCGATTTCACCTCAGTTTTTAATGATGGAGTTCTAGTTGCAGCCCGTATAAAAGGTATCAAATACCTAAATCATTTAAATTTCGAGCAAGAAGCTTTGCTTACTAAATAGTTCTATAAATTTATTATCTGTTAAATCAAAAGGATTTTCTCTTCTGTAAAATCTCCTTATAGGTCTTTCTTCTTGCGCTTCTGCATCTAGTAGATCATGCAGTACAAGAATTCTTCCTATAACCCCAGCTTCCAAACAAAAAAATACCATGGATGATGACTGTAGAGTTGACAAAAAGCGCATGTTTGACGTTTGGTTCTCCCGGGAACAGACGTTCTCTTCAAAAAAAGTAGTAGAATAAAATTCTCTCAACTTTCATAGGAAGTGAACGGTCCCTAATTTCGAGAATGCGTCCTAATAGATTTTGATAGAACCACGCTTACTTTTCCTATGAGAACAGGGATCACACGATTCGAGAATCGCCGTCCAGGTGAACAAAAGTAAATGCAACATATTTTTATGTTATGATTGGTTTAAATATGACACTGACTTGACTCTTTTTGTCATTGTTGAGGTGATAAAAAAGGTCGATTTACACAAATATCCTAATAGGAGAATGCGTACCAGTTTTATGTTTGGCCAAGTGTACAATCTTGGTTCAAAACAGAGTTCAGCTGAACTTGACTGGTACTTGAACTTCCCCATTTGAAATATATTGCTGTCAAAATTGATAGAATTTGATTAATAGCTGACAGCTATGTATTTTAAATGGGAAAGCACCAGTCGGGTTTAGTTGAACTTTGTTTTGAACCGAGATTGTACAACTGGGCCTTAGTAGGTACCTACAATATGTTAGAGAGAGAAAAGAAAAACAATTTCCATTGCAGGTTGCTTGCATAGATCGAATATCTCTTTCTAACGCGTATAAATAGAGAAATATACGGAGTAAATATTTTGTACTGAACACAAGGTCGTCTAATTTTTTTTTTCAGATTTTAGGTTCATCTACTTGTGTATACAGGGTGTCCCACGGTGGATGGCGTATTAGACGTTTATGGAGAACTAAAAAGCGGATCATTTTGAAAATTTGGCAACCGGGATAAACGACCATGATCTACACTTTAAAAATATTTTTGACCATGCGGTGTCGCCGCTTCTACTCTAAACTAGTGGCAACATCGCTATTTTAAATAGAACACCCTGTATGTGATTGCATATTTGGATTCTACGTAAAATTCTGAGCAGATTTCATGTGATATACCCTATATCTAAGTTCAACTGTTTCGGAAATATTGACAGTTGAAAATTGACTTTTTGCAACTTTGACAGGCTGTAAAACCTAATTGGTTAATTTTAGAGGAAAACCGATTTCACATTCCTATCTTAGATTTTGATAAACTATCATTTGACACCAACTTTGAACTTAACCGGAGATTAAATTTAACTGGAATTTTTAATCATGGATTTAATTCAAAGTTGGTGTCAAATGATAGTTTATAAAAATCTGAGATAGGAATGTAAAATCGGTTTTCCTCTAAAATTAACCGTTCAGGTTTTACAGCCTATCAAAGTTGCAAAAAGTCAATTTTCAACTGTCAATATTTCCAAAACAGTTGAACTTAGGTATAGGGTATATCACGTGAAATCTGCTCAGAATTTTACGTAGAATCCAAATATGCAATCACATACAGGGTATTCCATTTAAAATAGTGATGTTGCCACTAGTTTAGAGTAGAAGCGGCAACACCGTATGGTCAAAAATATTTTTAAAGGGTAGATCATGGTCGTTTATCCCGGCTGCCAAATTTTCAAAATGATCCGCTTTTTAGTTCTCCATTAACGTCTAATACGCCATCCCCCGTGGGACACCCTGTATATAAATGTAGGTACTTGTTGATATTTTTAAATAGTTTTAGGTTCGAATGCGGGATTCCTCCGTACTGGAAATCGAATATAATCTGAAACTAGGGATTTTTATACCAATCTAGGGACTTTTTTGCTTGCGCTCGTAGTATGGGGAATTTCAACTACATACCGATTTACCAACACTGCACGTCAGAGACTTGCCTATAAAAAAAAGTCAAAATAGCATCATCTTTATTTATTTTCGCTATGGCAACTGTATCTACGAGTGACAAACAAACACCCCAATAATTTGAAAATTTGACTCCAAAAATTACTTATAAGGTTTTGATTTTGATTCAAATACTTAATTAGGTAAGAAATTCTTTTTTATAAGAAAAAAAAATCACTTACCAATTTGAGGAACCAAGATTTCCTTCTCGATCAATTTTTCAAACGAATTCCTGTACACGTAGAAAAATCTATTATTTGTAGTGTCCAGTTCCTGGTCCAACAGATCGTCCTCGAGGTAGCAGGACAGTTTGTCTTCCAGCTCTTCGTTGCTGGCCATCATGTCCTCGAAGTAATGGTCCGAGTTCAGGCCGAACACTCGCGTCACGGTATTTTTGACCCATTCCCGTCGAAAATCCAAAGCCATTATTTTTAAAATGTTCAAATAAACCTATTAGAGAGAAAAAAATGGGTGTTGTTTTTGAAAGGGGATTGAAAAAAATGAAGGAAAAATTTATTTGTTTTTTTGTTGCTATGGTTAGCCATGGCAACGTTGATTTGAATTTATCGCGAAATCGATCTCATTGAAGCTCGCTATAGACTATCCGCATTTCCGCATATTCGCAATGCGCGATGCGTGATTCGCGAATAGTGTATAGGGACTTGTTCTTTAAAAATCAATTCGTAAACCACCCAAAATCTCAAGGCGGTTGAAGACCAAGAATGGTAAAGTCTGTTTTTTTTTAACGATAATTCCCGTCAGATCAAAAATTTATTAACGAGGGCATCTAAGGCGTTTTTTCGCGGGGCGAATGGTTCGAACTACGGTTTAAACCAATTTGTAGATGACGTCATCAATTGTGAACGCGAGAAAATGGAAGGTTTGAACCACAGTCTTATGTCAACGGAGAACAAGCCATGAGTCCGGTTCGAACTTTTTTGAACCAGGTTCAATGTGACGTCACTGGTTCAACGCAAGAATGTTCAGGTTCGAACCTAATTGAACCGGGTCGAACCAGTTCCACCGTTGAGAAAACAGCTCTAGTCACGTGCCTGTCAAAATTTCGGAGCAGAAAGCAAATCGACGAAAAATATGACAATAATGTATTGTCTGGCTAGCGAAACGGCGAACTCCAATAGAATTTGCTGCTTTGCCAAACTTGACGGAAATAATAATAATTAAGTTGGTGACATATTTTTGTTGCTATATAGGCCTGTATAATATTTTGAAATAGAAAAAAATCCGGCAACATTGCGAAAAGATGGATGTGGAGAGGCGTGATTATTCAGAGGCATGATTCTATTGGTTAGAGCCTGAATGACAGCACGCAGTGGCGTGGTTATCGGCGAAACTACAGTTTTTTTTCTAATATTTTTATTGGTTTATTTCCTTGGTGTTTTCGGTGGCACTGAACTCGACATGTCTGTCATCAGGCGGTGTCAGTTAAGGTGTCAGTGAATATCTTTAGGTTACGCCCCACTTTTCTTCCCCCTTTCGTCTCTACCAAGTTACCACTTGCCAGACTATACTCGGCCTATGTTGGCAGCACAAGCTTTTTCTAATATTTGAAAGCACAATTTTACAATAGAGAGTTATTGGAAGTGAAATAAGGTCCAGCAGTAATTATGCAAACGCTATATTGACATCTGCGCTTGCGCAGTTGCGCCATTGAATAAGGCTAGTTTTATTAACGTTTGTGCTAGACTTTATTACTGCAGGAATAAAGTCACGCACTAATAATATAATTTGCCCTTATTTTGACGGATTTTTGAAATTTGTCAGCAAAGCATAGCTGTCAGTAAGTAAAGTAATGTTAGAAATAGATTTAAGGAACAGCCGTATCTTGACGTGTTCGTGATCGTGAACAATAACTGTTTTTTCCGAGCCGCGTTTAGGTGAAGCGCTATTTAAATAAGGTAGTTGCCTTAGCCGCTTTCCAGTATGGGAGTGTGACGCCCGGAGCTACTCGGGGCGTTGAACCCCCGAGCTGTACGTACGTGTCAACCTATCAGCTGTCACATCCTTGGGTGGCTATTTATCTATTTATTTCTTGTTATATCTCAAGATTGAACATTTTAAAATATATAGTTTTGATTCTCTTTCATTTTTGATAAATAAAAAAACAAACTGCACAAACAAAAAGATAATTATTTTTAAAATTTGACATATTTGACACTAACACAGGCGTCTCACGCCATGATACTGGAACGGTACAAATCTAGTGCGTGGCGCCCCCGAGGTGCTCTAGAGCGCGCCAGAGCGCCCCAATGTGCATACTGGAAAGCGGCTCTTATTACAGCTAGCTTTATTTTGAAACTCAGAGGAATAAAAAACTATAGAGTGAGCATAGCAATCATAAATACGTTATTGTTTGTATGCCATTGACAACGCCCATTCTAAGCCGAAATTTCCTTAAATTTAGGGAAAATAGTTATTTATGTATCAAGGGTACTAAGTAGATGATTATGCCCTGAGGGCGACAGTCTTACAAAGCCGAGGGCCTCTGGCCCGAGGGTTCGTAAGTCGCCCGAGGGTATATATATCTATTAGTACCCGTGGTGCATACAAAATTTTATGTCATACCAGTTGGTTGTGAATAATAAATACCTGGGAAAAAAGTGTCACTTCGCAAATTGTCATCAGAGTGCAAACATCATAATTTTTTGGCAAAAATAATATATTTATCAGCGTAAATTTATATTTTGTTAATAAAGAATAAGTTGATTGAAAACTGTTTTTTGCGTCTTTATGCCCGCGCGGGCCATAATGTGTACTTTATGCCCGCACGGGCATAAAGTAATGAATTATGTAGATGGTATCTAAGGTATAAAAACACAATAATGTATTGGTATGACATAAATGTATTTTATGTCCGATTGACCAATAAAGTGTTATTTATAGAACAGTTTTGCGTCAATAAAGTAGCACTTTATTGTACTAGTAAAATAAAGTGCTACTTTATTTTACTAGTAAAATAAAGTGCTACTTTATTGCCTACCTGGATAACCTAACAAGGTGAAACAGGTCCTGACAACTTGCCAAGGTGAAACAGGTCCTGACAACCTGCCAAGGTGAAACAGATATACCTACGTGAATTTTACTTTTTTCATTAAATTTTTTTAATTTTTAACAAAAATCAGTCGCAATCGTACATAAAGTCATGTATATAACGCTTACATAAACAGGCTTTATTGACTCATTATTTAATAGCCTCGCTCGCAAGCTCGATCGGCCATAAAATTATTCGTACAATAAAGCCTTACTTTATGTACTTGTTATATAAATAGCTATTTTCTAAAGGATTTCAACGCCGCTTTGTTAGAAAGATTTCCACCTGCTTTACTCCACCTGAATGATCATAGGCGTGCGGAAGGAAGGTTAAATGGTGGAAATATTTCTATTTAGTGACAAAAATTAAGCAAATTAAAAAAAAAATTCTACTTTATTAGCAGAAACATGAAAACAGATTTTGGGGAACTTTTGATCAATAAATCTTTTTGATACAGATTTTAGGAATTAGGTCTACTATCTAAAATGAAATAAATACAGCAGTGTTAGATCAATCAAATTCATATTACATTACAAAATAATACAAAAAAAGGCTCCCTACGTCTGGCTATGAGACTACATTCTTCAATATTTGTTCCTCAGTTTCTGAAACTGTTGAGGTAGTTGATGAGGACTGAGAGAGCACTGTCAGGCATTTGAAAGTACTCGGAGCATCAAAAATTCTAAAAAGAAAAAATTATAACGGAGCAATCCCTTGTTTTAAGAAGTAGGTGGGGCACATATATGATTACCACTGACTCTTTTTTATCTCAAAACCCAATAAAATTCTATGTAGCATCCTATACACAAATGAAAAACACGAACCCTCCAGAAAGAACTTTCTTGTCAAACACATGACTCTCCCGATTAACGATTTCAACCACAGGCCTGGAGGAACATCAGGATACATATTCAGTCCTTGGAATCTAAAATGATTTAATAAGTGTTTTTGCCCTATCTGACAAATATTGAATTTTGAGCTTGGAAACTGAACTAGTTAAAATCACATAACCTTTTTAATCAGGATAATATTTTGTATCTTCTTTCTGGATTATAAAATCATTCCAATTCATTTTTTGTAGTCTGCATAATATAAGCAATAATTCAATATTTTTTGTTATTACAAACCAACTTACACTAGGTACTTTTATTTTTGGAGGAGACTGGAGACTCTATGACTGAAGAGTCTGAGCTGAGGTCTGAACTGGAAATTAATGTAGCTAATATGTAGAAATTATATCAAATATTAAATAACCAACTTACTTTGAAGTATTGAAAACATTGGAAAACAGGTGAAGAATCCGAACCAGATTTCAAATATCTAAATCCATTAGGCCTAGTGCATTATCATTGAGGTTGAAATGATCTGAGCACACTTCAGCGATTTTGGGTAGTCGCTTATTTTCTAATCCTAGAAGGCAAATCCATATACGCTTACACTCTGGATGTGTTGGAATCCTACAAAGATGCATATTTACCTTTAATCAAGCATAAGGAGTATTATTATTCTGCTTGGATTTTCCTATAGAAGTTCATAGAAAAAATTATCAAAATTAACAACTGGTAATTAATTTCCTCAATCTTGGAACAAATTTGATATTTATCTGGCGAAGTAGGTACATTATATCCTATTCTACGCCACTGCTTTGCTATCATAATATAACCCCCTACTTACCTATGAAACGAAATTTCCGGGTACAAATAGTCCAATTTTTCACACATTTGACACTGTCTAGCCATATTGCTGTATAATATTAGTCTTAAAACACACAAATAATTCACTTTCCAAACATAAAATATCAGAAAAACCTCACAAAAACGATTTCACGATGCGTTCTAACAAAAGGCAACAAGGCACAATCAAACTGACGTTAACTGTCAGCTTTGACGCCGTTTTACTATGCGATGTTGTCACGTTGAAAAATAAATAAGGATACTCGAATAATAACAATATTTTCTAAGCTCTTTTTTTACTAAAACAAACAACTTGAAATTATCAAAAATCTGCGTTGAGGAGTTTTCCTAGTTACTCAGTTTATTTGCACTTTTATTAATTTTTTCCCTATTTATTCGACGAGAAGTCCAATAAAGGGTTTTTCCAAAATATAATTGGCAACATGTTGAATCGTTTAGGATGGCGTTTAGACTTGATCGTTTAGACTATACTTTCTCACTGGCACCCCGTCAAAATGTAAATAACGGCCTCTATTGTTTTTTATTCCTCTGAGTTTTGAAATCTCCAATAACTCTCTATTGTATTGCCAACATAATGTGACTTTTATCAACAAAAAAAAAAAGACTTTACCACAGACCTCATTTTTACCCTAAAGGTGAGTTTTCACATGCATGGATTTAGTGGCGCTAGTGGTCGCACCAGTTCTATTTGCACGCCAGTAAAGGTTTAAGCGGCGCCGGCGTTTCAACAAGCATAGTTTTTTGGCGCCAATGCACCTGCCAGTTTGCTGGCGTAATAATAGGTCTGTTTCTGCAGAAATCACAAACCAGTAAGAGTGAATTTCATTGGTTGAAAGTTGAAACTACTTTTCTGACTGATTTGAACCAATGAAATTCGCTCTGACTCTGGTTTGTGATTTCTGCAGAAACAGACCTTATAGTGGCGCCAGTATCTGTTTCCATTTGAAGTGCGTTCGAAATCACTCTGGGCGTCACACCGGGTGCACACGAGCCGTTCAAAAATGAATCTGAGCCGCTTTCCAGTATGGGAGTGTGACGCCCGGAGCTACTCGGGGCGTTGAGATCCCGAGCTGTACGTACAGGGTATTTGATTATATTTGGCACCATACCTACAGCCTATACTATTTAAGATAGTAAAAAATTGTAAATACAAAACTTGACAGTTTTTTTCTATATTTTTTTTTAACGGTATCAGAAAAAACAAAATCGCATCGGAAAATGGAGAAACGACAACTTCGACTTTTTTAAATGGAACACCCTGTATATTTTGCGATAAAATGAAAGACCTTTTCTTCCTGATTACAAATATTTACGGGTGGGCCAGCGAAAACGAAACAAGGCCGATATCTCGTATTCATCGTTCATTGAAAAAAATCGCTCGGACCCGTCGATTTTTATTCGGAGGGGGAAATCTTTTGCACATATTTTCAATGTTGTCACTTCACCCCTCTCGCGGGGGTAAGCTCCAACCCTTAAATCTTAAATGGCAGTAGGGGTCGAGCGATACCTCATTTCAAAGGTCATCGAATTCTCTTTTCAACAGTGCCTATTTTTTTGAATTTGATTCAGTGGTTTTCGAGAAAACGCATTTAAAAATAGACGGAACTAATACTGTTTTAGTCATTTTGAGCACTATCAATTTTGTAGTTATAAAATTTTTTACTTAAGAAGTGATTTTATGCGTTTTTTTTTAAAGTTGTGTGCTATCCAACTTGAAATCACAAGGTTTAAGTCTAGGTTTTTATTATCACTCAATAAAATTCAACTAAATAAATTCCAATTTTAAAAAAAAATTGAAAAAAAAAAACTTAGTAAATTCAAAAAAATAGGCACCGTTGAAAAGATAATTCGATGAACTTTGAAATGAGGTATCGCTCGACCCCTACTGCCATTTAATATTTAAGGGTTGGAGCTTACCCCCGCGAGAGGGGTGAAGTGACAACATTGAAAATATTTGCAAAAGATTTCCCCCTCCAAATAAAAATCGACGGGTTTGAGCGATTTTTTTCAATGAACGATGAATACGAGATATCGACCTTGTTTCGTTTTCGCTGGCCCACCCTGTATATACAGGGTGTCCCAAAAAGATACCGACAAACTTTAAGGGGTAGTAAGGGACATCAAAACAAACATTTTTGTTTATATAAACATGTATCCGCAAATGAGCCGTTTGGGCTGTAGAGCAAAAAAACTATTAAAATCATACCCAAATAATTAAGGACTTTTTTCCTCGGTTTTTTATTAAGTTGGCCACCAGCATGATTTGCTAAAAATTTGTGGTCGCACTTTTGTTTATTTTTAAAATGCAAAAACATTTCTTTATCAAAAACATTTCGAAAATTCCTACCTTGGGATCATCATAAAATGTATTATTTGTGACTAGTTGCCGTAGTTAAGTTAGTTGTCTATTAATGACCCGACGCTGCAATCTTTGCATTGAAGTAAATTATCAACATTTTGAACAATTATTGTGAACCATAATTTATTAGTTAATAATGCAAAATTGATAAGTAAACAGTGATTTAATTATTGCAAAGAACAAAAGTACCAAACAGTTTTTTTGCTCTACAGCCCAAATGGCTCATTTGCGGACATATGTTTATATAAACAAAAATGCTTGTTTTGATGTCCCTTACTACCGCTTGAAGTTTGTCGGTATCTTTTTGGGACACCCTGTATATATATGTTGATCACATTTGCATGAGCCATTTTTGACATATCTCAGCTTAAATTATAACTAAATTGCAAAGAAATTTTATAAAGATAGAGATCTTTATGGAACTTCTCTGCAAATTCTTTATAATTTAACCTGAGATATGTCAAAAATTGCTCCCGCAAATGTTATCAATATACCTATATATATTTGGAATCAGAAAGAATAGATCTTTCATTTTATCGCATAATATACAGGGTGGTCCATTAAAAAAGTCAAAGTTGCTTACGTTTCTCCATTTTCCGATGCGATTTTGTTTTTTTTTTTATAACTTTATCAGAAAATAGAGAAAAAAACTATCAAGTTTTGTATTTGAATTTTTTTTCTATCTTAAATAGTATAGGCTGTAGGTATGGTGCCAAATATAATCAAATACCCTGTACGCGTCAACCTGTCAGCTGTCACATCCGTGGGTGGCTATTTATTTATTTATTTATTTCTTGTTATATCTCAAGATTGAACATTTTAAAAAATATAGTTTTGATTCTCTTTCATTTATGATAAATAAAAAAACAAACTGCACAAACAAACAGATAATTATTTTTAAAATTTGACATATTTGACACTAAGACAGGCGTCTCACGTCATGATACTGGAAAGGTACAAATCTAGTGCGTAGCACCCCTGAGGTGCTCTAGAGCGCGCCAGAGCGCGCCAAGGTGCATACTGGAAAGCGGCTCTGGTAAAGTGTGTTTTTTTTAAAAAGATAATTCCCCAAGTCAAAAATTTAGTAACTATGTTGGCAACACAAGCCTTTTCTACATAAAAAATTTTAAAGCTTGACAATTTTCCATTGTATTGCCAACATAATGTCATTTTGACTTTTATTATATATTATATATAGTATTCAAACTAATCCTATACCTGACACGACATATAAAAAGTGCTCCGTTAAAATAACAACTTTTGTAACTTTAAAACTAAGTATTAAATTCGGATTTTTTGCAAAAAAGTGCCCTGATATACAAGCGTGCCCGTGATTAAGTTTTCATTTACCGAATTACAAAACTGTGAGTAGAAATTTGATTATTTGTACTGTGCAAATTGAATTCTTCCACAAAAAACGTTAACACTGATAGCAGTACCTGGCGGGTGCCCAGAATTTTTTTTGCTCACTACTGTTTATTACTGTGTGGAGAAAAAAGTTATATTCGCTAAACAAATTGAATGAAAGAGGAGCGATCAGGAAAATTATTGCATTGTTTTCTTTTATAATTTGAGATGGATTTCAAATGCTGTAAAAATAAAACCACTAAAGAAATAAAAAACCTGTTTTGCATTGTTTGCGCTAACGTTTTCCATAAAAGTTGCTCGGAAAGAAATGTCTTCCAAAAACTTGGGCAACACAAAATCATATGCTCCAAAACTTGCTGTGAAGTCTTTGAACAAGGAAAAAACAACCAAGTTACTCTAGAGCAGCTTGACACAAAATTATTGGAAAAAAACGAAGAAATCGCCTTATTAGCAAACCTAGTAGAAAAACTCAAACATGAAATTCTGCAAAAGGACATCATGCATGAAAAAAAGGAAATTGACAATCAAGACGTTGTCCAAAAGCTAAATATAGAAATAACTGATCTCCAAAATGATCTAAAACACAAAGATAATCATATCAAGAGATTAGAGAGAGGCTCTCAAAGATTTAATGAGGAAGCAGAGGAAGTGGAAGAAATTTTTAACAGAAAAATAGTCGAGTTTCTCAAAACTATAGAGGATCTGCGACTAAAACTGTCAGAAACATGAAATAATTCACAGGACATTGAAAAAGCCAACAAGAAATATCAAGATGAACTTCAAGGTAAAAAGGATGAAATTGACGAAATACTCCTACAAAACCAAAAACTGACTGATAGAATGAGAAACTTGGAAAGACTGAATGCCGAACTTCAAGCTTCAATAACGAATCTGAGGGAGGAAATTGCAGGTTTTAATCAGAGAAATCAACACATCAGCAGTAGTTGCCATATTGTGCCCAACAGAACTCAATCAAACCAAAATATTAAAAAACTTCTTATTATTTCAGACCAACACGGACGAAATTTAGATCAAAATATAAAAAAACATTTGGATTTTACAAACATTAAGGTAGAGTCTATTATAAAACCTGGGGCACATTATGACAACATCTTGCTTGGACTGGACACATTGACTCAGGGTTTTGGAGAGAATGATTGCGTGGTCGTTGTGGGTGGTTCAAACGATTTTTTAAACAATAAACGTCCAAAATTTCATCAAATACACAGTATAATAAATCGCTGTTCACACACTAATTTTATAATTTTGGCCTGTTCCATACCTCATAGAACCGTAAACAGCGACTATAAGTCACTGTAAGTCACTTTAATAACAACTTATGTAAAATTATTGACACTCTTGACAAATATTCCAAGAACTTTTTTGGCTACATAAATATTAATATTGATAAGGGCTGTAAAGTGCGGAACTGGATGATTGGTGCGATGATTGCTGAAACGATTCAGCTAAACAATTTACAGAATATCAACTCTAAAAACGTAACACAAGATAAAACGTCATACACACAAAAAAACAAATCTCCAACACATGATTCCCTACCTCACAGATCTCCTCAGGCACTAGAAAGAATAAGAGGTTTTGAGGAACTAGATAATACCTTACAATCAGTCAGTTTGTTTGACGAGTTGTATGGTAGTTGCAACACAAATAGTAAGGCAGTAAATAGTACGTGCAACACCAGGGAGGGTTTATTTGAAATGTGCAATTCAAATTCGTCTGACAAAGTCGCATTTTTTAGCATTGAAATTCCGGCAAAAATTGCGACTTAGTCAGACGTATTTGAATTGCACATTTCAAATAAACCCCCCCAGTCACGCTGATCGTTTTAGCCTGAACTCGTCACTTTCTTTTTTAGAGAAAACTTGCTGTCAAACAAAAGACCCTCCCCAGTAAAAACGAATTTTGTATCTGTTAACACATAAAAGCTTCAATAGCTCATTTTTACCCGAGAGGTTATGTAATAGAAAATAATTACGAAACACCGGGTTGTTCTTAATAAAAGTGGACTGTATTAACTTTTCAAAACATTACGATGACAATCGGCAATAAACAAAGTTACATTTTTTATTTATTGTCTGTATTTTGTGCAATAGCAATTTCGTGCTAATTAATTAAAATTTGGACGCGACTTCGCGACGCCGCTTCTTCAATACGGCGGGTAGCACAGTACCTATTTATGCGATAGCCAACTCACGACTCCCCTAGGAATTTATACAGAAATGGCGCTTCCCTTAAAATATCTAGGTGTGGACGAGTCCATTATTGGAATTTGGGGGGAAGAAGCATATTAAAAAACTTGTTCCTTCTTGTGGGTTTTTTTATGTTTTGGGAGAATTGATATTGCACCAATACTTGTAACCAATACAATAAGGATAGATTGCACCATAATATAAATAATAATATAAAAATCAGGAATAATTATTAGAAAATCCAACATACTCCCGCCTTGGGCATTTTCTGATGAAAAGTCCAACAAAAAATCAAATGAACGCACTGACAAAAGCACTATTCACATCTTTTACTAAAACACTTATTATAAACTATCAACAAGTAACTCCTTAACCTAAGCTATAAAATATAATAATATTATCAGTAATCAATAATTACATTAAGAATCGTCACAATCGGTTATAGGTTTATCATCAGGTAAAGGACATAATTTTGTAATGGACCTATAGAAAATTCCATCTTGGGTTTGAATTTTAACTAACCTCACTTTGCCGTCTGGGCTGTGAGGTATCTCACTGATACGTGCCAAAGACCATTTGAGAGGTGGTAAATTGTCCTCTTTGACCAATACCACCTGATTGATTTTCAAATTCTGTGAAGGGTTGCACCACTTGGGTCGATGCTGCAGCCTATTTAAGTACTCCACAGACCACCTTTTCCAAAACTGTTGCTTGATTTTCACACATTTCTCATACATAGATAAACGATTATTGGAAACTTCAAGTAAATTTTTATCTGGATATGCAGCCAAGCTATCGCCAATCAAGAAATGACCTGGCGTTAATGGATTCAAATCAGACGAATCATTAGACAAAACACTCAAGGGTCTTGAATTTAAGATGCTCTCGATAGAAGTGAGTACAGTGCTAAACTCTTCAAAGTTTAATACTGTGTCACCAATAGTTCGTTTGATATGGTACTTGGCACTCTTAATCGCAGCCTCCCATATGCCCCCCCAATGAGGTGACCGTGGAGGTATAAATTTCCACTGGGTTTCATTTTGCGCGAGGAAATTTTCAATGGAATGAACATTTTCCTTACTCTTAAAAAATTCATGAAGTTCCTTCAACTGGTTACTGGAGCCTAAAAAGTTTGTGGCATTGTTAGAGTAAATCACAGATGGATTACCTCGCCTACCTATAAATCTCTTAAGAGCAAGCAAAAAATGCTCGGTTGACAATCCTGTCACAAGTTCAATGTGCACGCATTTTGTTGCCATGCAAACAAAGATGGCAATGTATGCCTTGATTTTTGGAGCTCTGCGTAAATTAGAAGTTTTAAGTAAATAAAACCCACCAAAATCAACACCCACTCTTTGGAAAGGCCTCGAGATCGAAACTCTGTCCCTAGGTAAGTTACCCATCATTTGTTCAGCGCACTTTGCAGTAAAGCGAAAACATGTTATACAATTATGAATAATTCGTTTGACTGACCTAAGCCCGTCAATAGGCCAGTATCTTAATCTAAAATTGGTTAATACTGTTTGTGCACCTGCATGGTATAGTCTCAAATGTTCTTTTCGCAACATTATATTGACAACATGACATTTTGACGGCAACAGTAATGGATGTTTTTGGGAGAATGGAATATTAGCATTTGATAATCTCCCGCCAACACGCATTAGGCCTTTTTTGTCCAAAAAAGGATTTAAGCAACGTAGCTTTTTATTTTTAATTATTTTATCATTTTTCAGACATTCAATTTCTTCAGAAAAATATTTTAGTTGAAGAAATTTTATTATGAACCACAATGATTCTTGTAATTCATCAACACTAAGCGAACCAAAATTTCTTTCACCTATTGGACATCTCAAGTTATGACGAAACCTTAAACAGAATGCAATAACACGTTGCAACCTATAAAAATCTGAATATTTTTCTAAAATTTTATGCAATTGACTTTCACAATGTGCTTTGGACACTGCACTAAAAACCGTTTTTCTCTGCTCTGGAAGATTTTCAAGAACGAGATTAGTTTTAAAAGAATCAAGATTAAAATTTGGATTACTTAAATGATGAGGACCATTCCACCATTGTTTGTTAAACAGTAACTCTTGGGCTGAAAGACCCCTGGACACATAATCACTTGGATTATCCTTCGTAGGTATATACCTCCAGACACAGTTAGAACTATTTTCTTGTATGATGGAAACACGATTTGCAACGAAAATGTTCCATCTTCCTGGATGTGACTGCAACCATACCAGTGAAACTTTCGAATCTGTCCACAGGTTAACAGAGTCAATTCTGAAAGAGTCTTTAAAAATATTTACAATTCTTTTTGTAGTTTGGGCTAACAGCAAACAACCACAGAGTTCTAGCCGAGGAACACTGATTGTGCGCAACGGCGCAACCTTAGACTTGGAACAAATTAAATTAGTTGACACACTGTCATTATTATAAATTACTCTCAAATAAAGAGCACAACCATACGCCTTTATACTGGCATCAGAATACCCATGTATTTCTATTCGCTTCACATCATCCAAATTATCTATCAAACACCGTGAAATTTGTAGCTCTGGCAAATCTAAAATATTTTTTGCAAATTTCAACCATTCATATTTCAACTCTTCGCTGAGACAATCATCCCAACCCAACTTTGACAGCCAAAACATTTCTCTTAGTGAGAGGAGTGATATCAATAGTTTTAGGTAAAGACACAGAAAAACAATCCAACTTTGGATTCCAATAAATACCTAAAACTTTATTAGACATGCCCTCAGAAATTAAAAAATAGTTTTGTAACTCAGAATCAGAACTAAACTTTTGCATAAACTGCTGAGAATTGGAACACCACTTATGAAGTGAAAACTTTCCCAAATTCAATAATTCAACTAATTGGTTTCGTAATTCATATAATTCATTCAAGGAATTCACGCTATACAGTGCATCATCAACATACATTTGACTTGTTGAAACATTCGCTGCAGTAGGAAATTTATGCTTATACATATTTGCCAATTCAGTGAGGCAACGAGTGGCAACGTATGGTGCGAAATTGGTTCCATAACTAACCGTCAAAAGTTCTATGCAAGAAAGTTCTTCACCAGGGCTTTTTCGCCATAAGATGTTCTGCAAAAAAGTATGGTCTGGATTAATCATAATTTGCCTGTACATCTTCTGGATGTCAGTAACAACTGCAAAACGGAACATACGGAACCTACACAGTATGTCGAAAAGCTCAGGCTGTACGACCATGCCTTTAAGACAGATATCATTCAATGAATATCCCGAGGTTGATTTCATTGATGCATCAAAAACTACCCTAAGACGAGTACTAGTTTTGTCATTTCGAATTATGCAATGATGCGGAATAAAATATTTATGTTCATTGTTTTTATTTTTAAGGTCCAGAGGAACATACCTTGCGTGACCCAACTTTATGTATTCGTCAATGAACTCAGAATATTGGCTAAATAAATCAGGATTTTGAATCAACCTTTTTTCAAGGGAATTAAAACGTT